CCCCAAAACCCCAAAACCCCAAAACCCCGTAAGGCTTGAATTGAAATTCAAAAGAATTTATTAATAAATTATGAGTTGTAAAGTATTAAAAGAATTTTTACTAAAAATTTAATGGGAAACGTTATTCTTAATGATATAGAGACAAAATTCAATCATGGATGCTGATAAATAGACATTTGCCTGCTTGGTCTCAGCAATCCTCATTTAAATCTACTAAAGCACTGTAATTTTTCCTTTTAGCCATAATTATTTTAGGGTCACTCTCTGATGCAAGAAAAATGTTTGACAAATTCAAGTAGATTTGTGAGGGCAAAAATTACAAGAGTGTAACAAAAAGATCACTGCATGAAATATTGCCTTTTAGTATCACTACCAATGGAAGAATATTTGATAATTTTAACCCTAAAAACTCAAGTATGTCTAATATAACCTTAAATTATTATGCTTAGATAAGATTAATTTCTATGAATTTTTCCTAGCAGTTTTATGGACATCGTACGCTCACAGATAGCAGAAAGTTGAATGTATATAATATACTATTTTATAGTTAGTTTTATATAGGATGATCGATGCCAACAACAAAAATCAGATGAAGTTTGAGGAGTTACATGAAATTATAAAATGGACTCTAAAGGGCATTGGGAAATTATTTCTGATTAAAATTCCCAAAGGCAAAGAAATACAGATCATTTCTTATAAAGCATTCGTATCAGCAGATGCCACAAATGACAATAACATTGATTTTACTGAGCTAGTGAATTGGGTAGAGCTAAATTAGCAGTTCATTACATTTCTGCAAGACTATGAACCAACAAACCCCATTCATTATGATTCTCGCATCTTCAGAGATTTTCATAAGATTGACGTAAATAACTTTGAATTGGACCCTCTGAATCTTACTATTGACACAAATAGATTGGTAAAAGCTCTCACATAATCCCGAAGATTGAAGATTAAAACTCAAGCAAATAGTCCTAATAATCCTACTACTATGAGTGATGAGTAAGATGATGCTTAAAAGATTGAAGAAGCTAGAAGGAGAAAGCTTTTCTTTCAAAATAACAACAAAACTAACATACTTGCCAGTTTATAACTAAATGACTTCAAATAATCTTAGCTTATTAAAGCAAATAGTAAGTAAAACTCGAGTGCAAGGAATTTAATGAGCCCTAAAAATGGAGGAGATACTACAAAGCACGTTTAATTCTAAATAAAAAGCCCAGTCGCTTGAGGTGCTAGTAAAATTATTCCAGACTTTAATATGCCTTATTCTCCAGCTCACTAGTCTATTAATAGTGCTCAGTTCGAAGTTCAAAATTCTGTTAATGTTACTCCATTTATGTCTGCAAGAAACTCTAAAAGAAATTCAATAAGCATAAGATAATCGCAGACTTCATTAGGTTCAATCGAGCGACTAAACTCTATTAAGATACTAGATAACATGAGCCCAAAGATTGTTTCGCAATAGTTTTCGTATAAGGACCATAATAAAGATACGTTTACCACCACATTCAAGAGTTCTCGAAGCAAACAATCCAGCCTTAAATAAAAGAGGCCAGTATTTAAATCTCAAGATGGCAGCATCAAAGGCAAGAAGAAATCGAAATTTTAGCTTCCTATGGATGATTAGTGGTCACCTAATGCTAATGAGAATAACTACTCTAATCCAGATTTTGTGGAATTAGAGTAAGATTTAATGGTAGAGATAAACACAGCAAGTAAGAAGAGAAAAGAATTCTTCTAAGATAACTATATATCTTCAGTAAACAATTTTGAACTTTATGAGTATTTTAATAGAGAGGTCGCTCATATTCAAAAAAGAGTTTGAAACTAATGAAGCAATATTTTGATGCTATAGATGAAGATAATAAAGGCTACATCACTATCGATGGTAAGAATAAAAGATTTTTAACATTTTTGCAGATTATGTGAGGGCTTGTCAAAATCATACTTCCTTAAAGTTTATTTCAATCAGTTTGTTCAAGTACTTTGATAAGAAATCTTGTGGATCCATTACATTCGTAGACATGATTAAGGCTATGATACCAGGACTCTAGAAGCATCACATAGACAAGGTTATTAAGTGGGTTAAATTGAATCATATCAAGTATTAAGAGATAGACGAGGAAATTAAGAAACCTAACGATACTCCTCTTGATTAAAGGCCTAGACTTTAGAGTAATAATTTTCTAAGCGAAAGCACAAGTAGTTTGATGGGTTCATCTCAGAACCAACAAACTCAAAGTAAAAATAATGTCCAGTAATTATTGCCAATCAAATTAATTTCCTTATAGTCAAAGAAGGAGACTCAGCTAGCAGAGATTGAGCTAGGATATCAAATTTATTAGCAACGAAGAGATCACAGAATTTAGAAATATATTTGACCTATATGACAAGAAAAACAGAGGGCTTCTAGATAGAGACTCATTCTTGATGAATCTGTCAACCCTATATAGCTATGGTGATTGTATTGAGAAGTTAAAGAATAATGGACTAGAAAATGCAAAAGATATCAGAATAGATTAATTCGTTTAAATGCTTAAGCCTTTCAACACCGTTGTCCCAGAGATAGTTCTCAACAACTTAAGAGTTTTATATGAGTAGAAATATCAAAGATTCTTAGTGAACTAGGCTGCCAGGAATATTAAGAAGAGCATTAGTAACCCTCAGAACTTAGTGAACTCAAAGTCAACACCCAGTTTGTCTAGAGTAAACCTTATTCCGAAATGATAATAATGATTATATATTTTATTTCACTATTTTGATTTCATAAAAATGAACTGTTTAAATCTGGTGGGGTTTTGGGGTTTTGGGGTTTTGGGG